AAAGTCTGCCTTCTGTCGCAGCGACCGAATGTGAATAGATATGCGCGCGCCAGCTGTAATTTTTCAAATACGTTTCGATCTTATTTCGTTTCAAATAGGGACTAAATTGGTTAAAAAGATGTCTCGGTTTTGCGGGCACAGATCTGTGATAAGACGGTAATACGGTTTAAGAGGGGTGCACAGATCTGTGTCAAAACTTTTGAAGGGTTAAGGAGTCTAATTTCAATATCAAATCAAATCAAACCAAATTGATTTGATTTCAATATCAGTTACAATTGTTGTATTGAAACCGATGCTGGTTGTATCTGTTCTTTTGAAACATAAACTTTACATAGTATAAAGCTTCGATCTTTTAAACTACACAACGGATTTTAATGTAATTTTTAGCAATTGATAGAGATTCAAGAGTATGGTTTATATATATAATATATGTACACCCGTGCGATTTTGGGGCGTGTAGCTAATCAAGTATAAACAATAATTTGATAACAATATCAGTTCTTTCATTTAATTCAAAATAAGGAATTAATATGTAGCTTTTTATTACGAAATTTGAACGTGTTTGACCACTATTGCGTATAATATATATACTTTAAAAGTACTAAGAGATGCGTTCTTGCGTGCGCATTGGATGACGTCCGTGAAGCGTCCTTTTTTTATTTTTTTTTTCGGACTACTCTAATGCTGTTGGCCGCAGCTGGCCTTTACAGCTTCACCGGACGTTATGGGGCGAGTGCAGATGGCACTCCAAACCCGCGGAAGGACTTATGGAGCGGCTGAAGGCCAACTCCTGCCCGACGGATACGACTTTAGTCTGAGGGCACCTAGGGGTTCGAACCTTGGCTCAGGCCGTCGTAATTTCGATCCCCGTTTGAATTGGACGGGGGATCGATCGGAGGGTAGAGAAGCGTCCTGTCGGTGCGTGTTAACAAGAAACAGACGAAATTTGAGAGTACAAGAAGGTGCACTGTTGTGAGTGCATTCGATGTCGGCCGATTGAGCGTCGTGTATACAAGAAACGTATTACAGTTTCCGCCAATTCTAATCACCCCGCAAAATATAAGCAAATTGAATATAGGCACTCAAGTTTAGACATTAGTACTAGATAAATTAGTAATTTTAATCACTCATAACATGGACAACGTCTAGTATCGTTTTGTCCCTTTCTTTATTATTAAAAATGTAGTGTGATAGAAAGTGATAAAGTATTTGAATTTTTTAATTAAATTAGTTACATACTTGATGTTTTTATAAATATTGATATATAATTTTTATTTTTTTATATATGTAATAAGCCAGCGTCCATATTCGTTGTAATTCTATATAATATAGAGCTAGTCATAAGAGTACACCGAGCCGAAATCCATTCATAACATTTATAACACTCAAACAAAAAAATGGTACTTGTTAATTTTTTATTAAAATATATATATTTTTTTTTTAATTTAAAGTAGTCTAAGTTACTACTTACAACAATAGATATCTGCGAGTTATAGTCCTGTAAAAATCGGTCCAGCCGTTTCAGAGGCTAGCAGGAACAAACAACCCGATATAGACTTTTTTTATGTAATTACCGTATATATTCATACGCATTTAGTGAAAAGCTTTTTAATTTGAAATTATAGACAGACAGTTAAATTTTATTTATTTGTATAGATTTCCAATTTGTTCCTCTGTGAAAGGGATTTAGTTTAATTTGTATATTGCATGGATTTCAGCTTGGTATATGATATAGCATACGGTGTACTAGTATACAGTAATATATATTAATAATATATATATATATATATATTTATATATATTAAAATCAAGACAGACCAGTATGTATTTATAAGCAGTTAAGTGTTTATTTTGGAAAAGTGTGTTATAGAATGCTTTTAAGCATGCTTATTTCCGACACTAGTAACTAACTAAAGCTGATTTCAATGTGCTTTTCACTTACGTATTATATATTGATATCCGTAACATTTTGTATTTGTTTAAATACAAACATTTCATAAACAAAAAGGTTCTAACTGTTATTCTGAATACAATAAACACTAAATTGGCTTAAGCCAGTACAATATTACAATCTGTCTAGATTTTTACTGCTGTAATTAAATTTATACCCAATTATATTTATCATTAGATCCAAATCTGATTAAATGAATAGCGAAATGGAGTGTTTGTGATTCGTATTTTCAATTACTGTTACTTCTATTTATCTACTATTTGGAATGTTGTTGTAATATAATATCTTTGACGTAATGCAAAATACGAACACTTGTACTCCATTCAAAATAATCTCCGTACAAATGTGCTTAATAGTGATTGAAATAAGAAACATAATATAGTTAATAACGTCTATAAAACTATGCGTAGTGTAGTGTAGATACACGGCCTGTCCTGTGGTGGATACGCGGTATTGCACTATCCCTGACGATTTTAGTTGACACAATATTCATGAAATTTTATTATAATATATAAATCGTTCGTTTCAGGTTTATATTTATATATCAATGATTAAAGATAGACAGGTATAGATATTGAAGATAATGTAACAGATAAAATATATTGCAACTTCAACTTTAATGTAATATAGCAATTTATAATCCAGTTTTAGTACTGTTTGCAAGTGTTATGGATATTCATTCAGAATAGGTTTGATATGCATTGCAATTTATTTAGCATTTTTTTTACTCGAACTTACAATAAGATCCTGCGTACGAACACATAAACGTTAAGTCAAATCTCAATAAGAAAAAACTGTTTACAATTAATTCTTCTTGTTATTGGATACATTCTTAACGGGTCGTGGTCATTGTGTAGTGGGGTATGAGGCTGATATCATCCGCTGTACGACAGCTCGCCATTTGTGTCTATTGGCTGCCATTCTGGTACACTCGTGGAGTGAACCGCCAATTGCTACTTTGACTTAAAATTAATATAACAGTTCAAATCATCCCCACATAAAGTAACTATAGATTTTTTGCAGTATATATAATAATAATCTCAGCACAATTCACACAGCGCCATCTAGACCCAAGTTAAGCTAGCTAAAGCTTGTGTTATGGGTACTAGACAACTCATACAAGTACATTTTTTTTTTCGTAAATACATACATATTATTCATAGAAAACACCCAGACCGATACAAACAATCATACTCATGAATACAAATGTTTGTGCCGTGCGAGGAATCGAACCCGCGACCATCAGATGTAAAGCGCTGTGCTAGACCGGTAGACCACCGAGGTCGTCAGATCGTAGATAATATATATTATCTAAAAAAATTACAATGCATATTAACCCTTATAGAAAACCAGTCCTTTAATTTAGACTGAATAATTACCACAGATTCCTGTCACATTATTATTCATATTTGTTTTTTATTATTATTATTATTTTGAACCTGTTCCTGTATTACGTTCTACTGATGTACAACAATGAAAATAAAGTAGGTCTGTATATTTCAAGTGAAATTTCTTTATCTATGGCATTAAAAGTACAAAAAACTAGTTCAAAATATTTACATCACGACAGGCGTGCAGTGAAATCATTTTGACAATCCTAATAAAATAGATCTGAACCTAGCTCTCTAGAATTTGACAAATATAGTACAATATATTACTATTCACACATCTGTATCTAGCGCGAGTATTGAAATTCCTATTAATTATAATTTATATCCTATTGTATTGTATTGTAATTTTGTATTGAAATTTTACTGTTCAATGTAATTTTTAATTGTAATTTTAACATAATTCTACTGCAAGTTATTTATAAAATGAGTAATCGTACGAAATTAATTCAAATTCAAATTTCGAATATATTATCGTTATGAAATGTGCTGCAGTAAAAGTTATATACATATGTAATACATATCATGGGTTTGTAATTACCAATAGGATAGGATATTGTATTGTATTGTAATTTAATGTTTTATTTTGTATTGAAATTTTTACCTACAGTACAGAATTTCAAATTTACTCCAGCACATTTTTAAACTAAATCTTGATAGAATTGCCTAATTATAGGTAAATTTAAAATGTCCAAAATAACTGCGCATATTCACTGTATGAATGTAATACCAGTCACTAAACTCGCGTAAAATAACTTTATACTTCTCTTCAATAATTCCCAAGCCTTTTAAAAAAATAATTAGTACAATCAACTGCATTAATATGTGAACACCCGAGAAGGTACTACGCTTTGAATGAACATCCTTATTTAATAAAATTAAAACGTTAAGCTCAATTTAATTATCAGAATGTTTTACACGCTCATTCTTCTCCTTCTTTATGTGCTGTCTCCCACTGGAGATTGACGATCATCCTGGCGATCTTAACTTTATCCACTGTCCTGTTCTGAACAGGAATCTGGTGCTACTCTCAAACTGTCTCAAGTTCTTTAGCCATGACGTGAGCCACGATACGTTCATTTAAGTTAAGAAAATGGTTTGAAAGACAAGAACTGAATGGCTGAATATTTAAAATAGATTTATAAGATTTTTTGTATAAAGAAAGTAATAAGAGTAATTTTAATATAATAATATAAACGCGAAAGTTTGTAGGAATGGATGTTTGTTACTCTTTTATGCAAAAACTACTGCGTGAAACTGCGGGCACAGCTAGTTTCAAATAATTGATAACAAAATTGCTGTATAAATATTTTTATTACGGTTTACTTTTCACGATGTCTGTTTTTATACATTTTCTGTTACGCCTTATGTATAAAACACCCTGTATATTTAAATTAACAAATAACCTGTTGCTTAAAGCGTTCACATATTAATGCATGTGACTGTACATTACTATTTAGTCGTACCAGAAGTACGTTTGCCGCACTTCCGCATTCAACGCATTAGGCATTCAAATATAAACCTTATATACTATATGCATAGATGCGTATTTATCTACGCTATTAAACACAATACTCTGCATGTAAACATATCACAATAGAATGTAGGCGTATGATATACGCACGTGGGGCCGGCCGACACCGCACGTGGCAGTTCGGGGCTCAGTCGACGCCCGCGAAGCCCTGTGACCCTTCGATGGCTTTGACGAGTTTCTCGCGTAACTGCTGATAGCTCTCGTATGGAGGTAAGTCGATTCGATTGAAACTGTGAACAAATATGTTTTTTTTTATTTATTTATTCTTTCCCGCATATAATTGTATACATGGCGAACTTAATGCCTAATGCCATTCTCTACCGGTCAACCGTCGCGTTGATCAGAGATAATGAGGCAGTAATTTAATAATAATTATATAGGTTATAGGTACTAGACTACAATAACTGATATAATATAAATAATGAGATATTTTTTTTATAAATACAAAATATATTCTATTGTTATATCTTTTCTTGAAGGTTTCTATATCGTAATGTTTAATAGCTAGCATATGAGAATACGTACTCGGTGGGGAGAAAGTTGATTGTTAGTAATGCGGATGGATGACCTTATTACTGGCAATGTACCATATCACGGTGACCTCCACGCGGATCCTCCTGGAAACCATCTTGATAAATATGCCACGATGAACTAACTGACCTGACCTCATGCTCATGCTATCATCCTCCACTGGTGCTCCGCCAGCGTAAACCGTTAACACAGGCGGATGCATCATTCCACTATCATCCACTAAAAAAATACGTACCAGGTGTGAGCGCGAGGGTAGTTGTCGGGGCTGCCCCACCGCTCGATGGTGAACAGCTGGGGTCCGTTGGACCCGTACAGCTCTTTGAACCCGTTCATGGGCACGCGCGACGTGCCCGTCACAAACTGCAGCAGTCGAGACCTCATCTCATTGGAGAACGACAGCACCACCTGTGTGATATTGACCATAAATCATATAGTCTGTATAGATATATATGGAACACAGTGTATCTACATACTATAATGTAATAAATTTAAAATGGTACTTAAAATATAGGTTTTTACTTACTAAGATATAAATATTACATGTAAAATTAAATTATTATTATTTATTTTAGTATTGTTGGAGCTTCAGCAGCTCCAATAATACAAATGTTGATATGATAAGTACTTTAATTTATTAATTTATTTTATTTATTCTTTTATTTCAGGCAACTAGGCCCATATTATAATAATAATAATAATATAATAATCTCAGGACAATTCACACAGCGCCATCTAGGCCCAAGTTAAGCTAGCTAAAGCTTGTGTTATGGGTACTAGACAACTGATACAAATACATAGATATATTTTTTTTTGTAAATATATACATATTATACATAGAAAATACCCAGACCGATACAAACAATCATACTCATATATACAAATGTTTGTGCCGTGCGAGGAATCGAACCCGCGACCATCGGTCGTAAAGCGGTGTGCTAGACCGCTAGACCACCGAGGTCGTCAAATTAAAATTATTATAAATACCTTATAGACTGTTGGCGACCGACCGCCGAACTCTTTTGATATATTTATTATTTTTAAATTTATATTTTTGAAGAGTTCTTTTTTATATGTCATGTTATTTGATATACTTCAATTTATTGTATCATTCTATTATTGTCTTTCGTATAGTTCGCAATTGCACATATTAATATATTATATTATTGCAAACTACGTGTTTTCATCATTTAGACACCCATACAGTCCACCGATCCGTTACATAGACTAACATACATATAATATAATATTTAAAAACTAGTACAATGATATTGTCTGTATTATTAATTGCTGATTCTTTACAAGAATATAAAATTATGTGTAACTTTGCCGCCGTACTATACACAAGTGGTGGTCGGCTCCGTTAGGGTATTGTCGGTGTACCCACTGGTCGCGCTGCTGCTTCATTAGAGTACCGTGTAATGAATAAGTATTATTGACCGATTGTCGCGGGTTCGATTCCTCGCACGGCACAAACATTTGTATTCATGAGTATGATTGTTTGTATCGGTCTGGTGTTTTCTATGTATAATATGTATGTATTTACAAAAAAAATATCTATGTATATGTATCAGTTAGATAGTACCCATAATACAAGCTTTAGCTAGCTTAACGTGGGTCTAGATGGCGCTGTGTGAATTGTCCTGAGATTATTATTATTGATGGGTTGATAAATTTGTCTCTGCGGGTGAAAAATCACCAAATAATAATTATTAAATCAATTATTATCATTTTCACAGTTTTTAGTTATTTACACTTACAGGCCGAAACCAAGTAAGTGCAGTGTGTGTGAGTGTACGTGAGCGTGTACGTTTGCGTGTACGTGCGTGTACGTGCGTGTGCGTGCGAGTGTGCGTGTGGGTGTGTGTGTGCGAGTGTGCGTGTGGGTGTGTGTGTGCGTGAGGGTGTGTATGTGTGCGTGACTGTGTACGTGAGCGTGTACGTTTGCGTGGGCGTGTGCGTGTACGTGCGTGTGCATGTGTGTGCGTGTGCGTGTGTGTGGGTGTGTGTGCGTATATGCGAGCGTGCACGCATATTTTGAAGTGACAACGAACTATACATCATCTCACATACTTGACATGATATATGTATCCCTTGTATAATAATCTAATAATCTCATTTTATAGATTAGTTCAACCTTGTACATCACATTTACCTTATTACTGCAATGTTTTCTTATATGTACAATAAAAAAGAAAGATTTAATAAAACTCACCCTCCAAAACCACTGGACTACAATATGATTGGCGTGGTAGTCTCCCTTGTAGAGCGTGTTGGCGCGCCAGTCTCGCACGTCTATGTGCTGGATGCCACACAGCAGCAATTCCAGTTCGTGCTCGTCGAAGATCTTCAGCAGATTCAGAGGCACCAGTGCACCGAATCCGTCTAGGAACGCTGACATCTGCTCTTGTACTCTACTGACGAATCGCCATTGTATCACCAACCTGTTACGAGTATTTTACAAGCTTATTCATAGAAATAGAAATAGAGATAAATCGCTGATAGCAAAACGATTCCCGATTATATATTGAATCTTGCAAAAATCACCTAAGAAATACAAATAAAAAATACAATTGAACTAAGAATCCATAGCTTTATTCGATTGAAAAAAAAAAACACAACTTCTTTAACGCCAGCTGGTAAGAAAGAAAGCAGAAAACATAGAATAAAGTTTATTTCTTTATATGTTTGTTTGTCTTGCAAATTTGAATTTAAAAATGAATCTGTATTATTGTAAACATATACAACATTTATTTGAAAATAATACGAATTGAGTTTCTTGTCAGTGCTTCTCATCTCGATATCATTCCGAACTGACGGTCGATTTGACATATCATAAGAGTCTGTAATAGACCTACGTGAATAAAGATATTTTGAATTTGTAGAATATTACAATAGTTTTCTGAACACTATCTGTAGTATCTATTCATTTAATGGAATATTCCTTAAAATAGTGTATGATTGTGTTAAACACATCAAAAGCCTATATACGTATAATTAGCAAAAATCACGGACTCTAAAACCCGTTTACCCGTGATCATGGTGGTTGAAACACTGCCGAAATATCGGGAACTCAGCAAATAAATATAAAACGTGGTAAGATCCCGTGATTTTTACTAATTATACGTATAAATAATAACCGCCTCAAATTTAAAACAGTATAAAAGCCTATGTGTAAACAAACGTTGAGTTTGAGGGTTCAACTTCTAACACAAGTAAACAGAGTTAGTGAAGTTTAAGAAATCTTAAACTTTTAGCTAATGTTTATTCAAATAAACTCAATACAAGCACTTTTAAATAGTTATATTTTTTACATTTGTATAGCATTACTATATACTGATAGAAGATCGTGGAAGGTGGCGGGAGCTCCACCGACAAGAGCACAGCTCTTAAATTATGAATGAATGAATGAATAGCATTACTAGCTTTTGGCCGTGGCTTCGCTCGCGTTAATTTATCCCCTTAGGGGTGAAATTTATCGAAATCCTTTCTTAGGGGATGCCTACGTCATAGTAGCTTTATGCATGCAAAATCTCTGCCCGATCGGTTTAAAATTGACAAAGTTTCATACTAACTTTCATCCCCTATTTTATCCCCTTGAGTTCTACCCCCAATTAATCAAAATCCTTTCTTAGCGGATGCCTACGTCATAACATCTGCCTGCATGCCAAATTTCAGCCCGATCCGTCCAGTGGTTTGGGCTGTGTGTTGATAGATCACTATGTCAGTCTTTGAGTTATATATATATTGATTTTTAAGTAACCTATAAAAATGGGTAATCAATATTAATTTCCGATAGTGCCACAATCCTATTAAAAACGCAAAAATGGCAACATCGGTATAATGTAATATGTCTCCGGGATTAAAAAGCATACTATATTAACAACTCACTTGATATATTCATCTTTGTTCTCTTCGTCTACCGGTATGTTAGCACCGCCGGGTTTCAGGTCCCTCTGTATAGTCTTACCGAACTGCTCCTCGTCCACCGAGAATGTCAGATACAACTCTGATGGATCGTTTTCCTGTAAATTGTTCAATTTAATTATTAAGTAGTACTAAATGTTGTAGAATGTTCAGTAGCTGTAATTTTTTTTAAATATTGTTAAGTATTATATATATCTCGCAAGATAGAAAATAACTTGAAAAATATTTTTCTATCACCTAATCTATGGAAGATTAGAAGTAGCACTAAGTTTGCGAGATTTAAAATAACTTGTAGAGTGTTTTTCAGTCGCTGTAATTTTTTTTTAAATTTTGTTAAGCATTATATTTCTCGCAAGATAGAAAATAACTTGAAAAATATTTTTCTATCATCTAATCTATGGAAGATTAGAAGTAGCACTAAGTTTGCGAGATTTAAAATAACTTGTAGAATGTTTTTCAGTCGCTGTAATTTTTTTTAAATTTTGTTAAGCATTATATATATCTCGCAAGATAGAAAATAACTTGAAAAATGTTTTTCTATTATCTAATCTATGGAAGCTTAGAAGTAGCACTAAGTTTGCGAGATATTTAACTTGTAGAGTTTTTTTCTATCACGTTATCTGTGAACATTTAGTATCTATGTTACATACATAACATAAATAATAACTATCTGTAACAACTATAAATAATAACATAACTTTATATATGCACTTTTGTGTAACTTTTGTGTTGCTAAAATTGACTCGTAAGTATGACACGAGTCAATTTTAGCAAGATTATTTAACATAATTTGATTTAAAATATAAATAATCTTTATTCAAATAAACTTAAAATTAATACTTTTGAATAGTTATCATTTTTTTGTATTCTCTCACTCATTCGGAATGCAGACTCATGAAGACACAAGAAGAAATGAGGAAGAAACTTGCGTGTTGCCTTGGGAATAAATGTTGTTTTAAATAAATTCACATTAACAATATTAACACTTTCAATGGCACCTATATCGAATATATTTATAGTATGGTATGACGTTATTATATGTCGTAGACTCTCGTACCTCACACAGTCCATCAGCAAATTATATATATTCTCAATTGTACCACATACTTTACTTTGTCGGAGAGGTTAAAGAGTAATCGTCTATTGTGGTATGGTCATGTAATGCGTAGGAATGAAGACCTAAGGACGGTGTTACATATGAATGTGGATGGTTATAAGGGTAGAGGAAGACCGAAAAAGAGATGGATGGACTGTGTGAAAGATGATATGGTGAGAAAGGGAGTAAATAACGAGATGACTGCGAACAGAGATGAATGGAAGAGAAAAACATATTACGACGACCACAAATAAATGGGATAAGGAAGAAGCAGATGATGATGATGTACCACATACTTTACAATTATGTGAATTTACTTGAAATTGAGTTTGGGACTAGATGGCGCTGTGAAAATTGTCCGGGGTTATTATTATTATGTAGTAACCAACTATTGTTGTAAATATTTATATTGTAAATTCGTTGTACCTTGATGTATATAAGCGAGTTGTAGTACTCCAAGTCGACCGACTCCATGTCCTGCAGTTCAATGGGCTTGCTCAGCATCATTTTGTAGAATGGACGGATGAAGAATGCTGTCGATATTAATTTTATTATTGCCTACGTTTCAGATTAACAAGGCGCTGTTGAATATTTATATTTTCTACTCATTCGAAAAGGAAACTCCTTCCATACTCACAAACTTACGCGTTTATAACTTTAGTAAGATTACTTATGTGTTTATAAAAAATGTATTTAAGCATTGCCATCTGTTGTCTAGTTCTACAACAAACTCTGCTTAGATTGGGACTAGATGGCGCTGTGTGAATTATTATTAAATAGCTAACTGACCCAGAACATTCGGGTGTAAATGTATAATACATATAATCCCTATTTAATCACTCTATCTATTGCTAAAAATTGCTTTAAAATCCGTTGCGTAGTTTAAAAGATCTAAGACATTCTAAACGAACAGACAGCGGAAGCGACTTAATCTTATAATGTGTAATAATAATAACAAATGTGTGAGGGTGTGTGTATGTGTGTGTGTGAGAGAGACAGAGAGAGAGAGAGAGTTGAATATTAATACCGGTAATAATATGTAAATATATAGATATTGTATCCCAGTCTAAACTTACCATCGAGCAGTTTCCCATGGTATACCGCCATGCCGGCCACGCGGCCGATGAACTTGAAGTAGCTAAGGTGCTCCTCATTACAGACGCCGCTGTTCGGATTTATCTGCAGTGTATAGTTGTCCATCGCTGAATACTCGAACAGTCCGTAGTACGGGTTGAACATCTCCTTCGACAGCAGGAAGAACCATTCTCGCGCCAAACCCCCATAATCTGGGAAATTCGTTTTATCAGAATTAAAATCAAAATATCTTTATTCATGTAAGTCTATTAAGACTTATGATATACCCCCTCCGATCGATCTCCCGTTCAATTCCAACGGGGATCGAAATTACGACGGCGTGAACCGAGGTTTGAAACCTAGCGGTGCCCTCAGACTAAAGTCGTATCCGTCAGGCGGGAGTTGGCCGTCAGCAGTCCTTCTGTGGGTTTGGAGTGCCATCAACACTCACCTCCTATCGTGTGGTGAAGCTGTAAAGGCAAACTGCGGCCAACAGCATTAGAGTAATCCGAAAAAACATGTAAAATTTACCGTCAGTTCGGATTACTTTCGAGCTAAGAAGAACTGTCAAGAAACTCAGCTCTTATTATTTTTAAATGAGCTTGTACATGCTTATGAATAACAGATTCATTTTTAAATTATAGTGAATGTACTGACCACAGGCATATGGTATTATATTTTTATCGAAAGGAAATAATAAGACCAGTAAATAGGTCATAAATGGGTGCTGGTTATGGGGATAAGCAGTATTTTCGAGTATGACGGATGCGACGACAACTGCCATCAGGTAATGTTCTTCGATATTCCAGATACATAAAAAACTCACCGAGACCGACTTCCGACTCAAATTCCACCCACAACTTGGTCTTGAGCAGCTCGATGCGATTCACGGAGGTGATGATGCGATATGAGTCTTCCAGTATCGAGTTACGACGCACTTTTATCTCGAACTTATTAGGCACGTTGCTCTGTACAATATAAATACATAAATAAACATGAAAATATTATTTACAGCACATTTTGTACTATAATATAACGTAAATGCGTCGCTTACTAACTTCTCAGTTTGCCTTATGGTTGACTGGTAGAGCCCTTAGGTGTTAAGTTCGCCATATATACATTTATATATTGTATTTCTGCATTAAAGTTTAAATAAATAAATAAATGTTTATTCTACAGGAGACAGTGAAATATTAAAAATGGCTAAACAATAATATATAATCATTTTTAAATTATATCATTTAATATGCTATCTAGAATTATGTAATTCTTTACAGAAGTATAATCATTCATATAAAATTTGCATCTGTCGCATTGGTTACTCACTGAGAATATATATATATTACATATATATTTCTATAAGTAAAGGCAATTTTAAAATACATTAAAAAATCTAATTTAACCAGACTTAATTTTTAATACTGCTTACGTTAGTGAAAATTGCACTCAAATCTATTAATTTTTTTCTGAGATGCGCACAAACTATTGTTAAAAATTCTAATACCTATTGTTTTTATTTTACGTTCATAAAGTACCTCAAGAACAGTTATTCTCACACATCTTTCACGTACAGACATCGATCAGTAACATTTTTATTATATGTATCGATATATCACGTGTGTATATGTGCTTGTCTATCTCAAAATAGGCCAGAATTTGACTAAGGAACAAACATCATCAAATCATCTTTCCCCCTTCCCTAAAGCCGATGAGTCCTTTGTTCGATAGGCACAAATTTAAGGTCAGACTTCCACAAGGCAGTAATAGTGATCACTTCCCAAAAGCCGATGTGTACGTACCGGTTTCCGTAGCTGCCCCTTGAGGAACTCGTATTTGCGCTTGTAGTCGCGTGAGTACGGTACTGCGGGGCCCGCTATCTGCGGGTTCGACAACCGGGGGTCCTCCCATTGCGTCGTGCGAGTATCTGGGTATACATTTTTTTTAATCTATAACTAAGGAATCATAGACATGTAGCGTTATACAGCAAGTAGGTGTATTAGTGCAGGGTGATAGTATGAAGATGGAGTCAGGTCAGGTCCATCACCCCAGTTGGAATTCACCACGATGATAGCTGATGATTTTGAGTGGCGGCGTGTAGGTTGAACTTGTTATTTTTTTTAATTTATTTTAGGCAACTTAATAGCTCATATTGTATATAGGTTACAGACTAATAGACATATAAAATAGTAGTCTTTCGTTGTTAAGGTTAACAGCAAGTTGATCAGTAACGCACATTTGATACTCTTGTTTCAGGCATCCATAGAATTCAGTTTATTATTAGACGGGCCGTATACTTGTTTGCCACCAGATGGAATTAAATATATTAGAGTAAATGTATATATAAAGGATGTAAAGGGAGGGGACGCCCTAAGAAAAGATGGATGGATTGTGTGAAAGATGATATGAATAAAAGAAGAGTAAGTTCAGATATGACGACCGATAGAGAGCAGTGGAAGAGAATGACATACTGCGCCGACCCCAAATAATGGGATAAAGGCAAGGCAATGATGAGAGTAAATATGAATATATAGTATAGATATTACTGTTTTTTTTTGTTTAGTTTTCATCATTGCTCCTCCTACAATAAAATGTATTTTTAATTTGTTTTTTCTTTTTATATTTATATAATCAGGGGAGACTGCTACTACTTGACATTGCGTCACTCGTCGTCACTGTCACCTTAGCTGCATACTATCCTGTATTGTGTAGAAGCGATCAGTACTCTGTGCGGTTTTGGGTCACGTCTTGAACTACACGAGTATGTGGTACTAAATAATTCCGAGTGAGATATAAGACTGACTGTGGTCAATGAAGAAGATCCGTCCGTCCGTGTGCACGCGCTCCTCCCAGCCCTCGGGCAGCGCGCCCAGCTCGTCGGCCTCCGCCCCGGACGACGCCGCCGCCGCGCTCGGCAGGCTCGACGCGCACCCTGTACGACACCATCCACATACTTACTAATACTGACCACGTGTTTCACTTATACAATAATTGTAGAAGTCTCTTTGAATTGTTCAATCGATCGATCCTTCAGTCATCAATGAAACATCAATCAATTAAGCAGTCTATCAACCAATCAGTCAATCCAAGAATCAATTTAATGAATCAATCAATTCATTTATTTGCGGAATACAGTTTTTATATTAATAAAATTAAAATTTTAAACTAATAATATAACTTTTTTATGTGTGAAAGATTATTTAAAATCAGTTTAGTAATATTTTAAGTTCGTATATTACATACAAATGAAGTCTAGCTAGATTCCCTTTCTTTTAAGTATTACTTTAGATAGAACCATAAGTCAGAGGGCTTATACAAGTGCTATCAATAAAGACAGACTCGAATATTGATATCTCGTCTTATTTGACTTGTCACTTAATACTTATATTCATTGAGAAAAATACTTTTCAATTAATGCCTCGGTAGTCTATCGGTTTAGCACGCTGCTTTACTTTCGATGGTCACAGGTTCGAATCCTCGACCGGTGCAATCATTTGTTTTCATGAGTATCTTGTTTGTATCGATCTAAATATTTTCTAAATATATAATTGTGTAGTAACGTCAAAATGATTTTCTCAAACATATTTGAGTATTTCTATCAGTATCTAGTATCCATAACACTGCTTTGCTTAGGACTAGATGACGCTGTGTGAATTGTCCAGGGTTTTTATTACAGTATTTTGTATGATTCCCTAGGTGTAATGCAACGAACAAATCAATGTTAAATCCGTGTATCTAAGGCACCTGTTCTAGGATCTATCCACGTGGTGGTCTTCTGATTGTGGTCAATGAAGAAGACCCTGCCGTTGGGCGCCTTCTGCATCGTCCAGCCTGATGGTAAACCTGAAATAAGCATATTTTAAAACAACCATCAAAATATCACTATCGACTTCGATTTAAAAAAAAAATGATTTGATATTGTTATTTCACCGTAAACTGTAATGTCACTGCCATTTCTCACCCCTAAACTGCAACACAGATTACAAATTTATCTGCCGTCAAGGCCGAAATAAAAATAATCTTTATTCAAATAACCTTGCACAGCTAACAATTATTGTCTGCAACACCCATGGTTGACTGGTAGATAATGGCGCGTAATGTTAAGTCCAAAGTCCTTTAAATAAGCCATTTGTCCTTTAAAATTACGTGCATTAAAGTTTAAATAAATAAATAAACTTAATACAAACATGGGTGCTGTATGGCGGTTGTAACACAATAAAAAGTAATAAATGGTGGTAAAGTCCCAAGATTATTCGTAATTTTAGGAATAAATAATGATGCATTAAAGTTAAAATCAATAAACTTAAACTTGAAGTAAATAAAAAGAAAGAAAAACTTATTAGGGCCCGTGACTTTTCAAATTATAAAAAGTATATTGATATTGATCAGGGGTGGCCAACATGATTAGACCCAAGATCTCCTGTTTACTATTGAAACCCTGTGCGATCTACCAATTACATACTTATTGAAAACTTAAATGAAACAGCATAGTTCAGTACACAATCATGTAGTATTTTTTTTTTATTAAGAGAGAAAACATAAGTGTGAAAATTATTCTTAGTAACTAGGTACTTATTTAGCTTTATATTAGTGTGAGTATTCCGTCTTCCACTAATTTAGCATAATCAGGTTTGTAATTGGAAATTGCCAAACTTTTTTACGATTACATTGCGCAGTCTGGTCTTTGTATTTATATTTTTTGCCTTGCCACGCTCTATTGGACTAACAGTCGCGATCCTGTTGCCCATCCCTGAAGCCCAATTTACACTCAGCTCGAGTGGGCAGGGAAGTGAGCAGCGTGAGAGTGTAAACACGATACTGTCCATGTCATTGGCACTGCCACTCGCGCTGCCCGACGCTCCCTCGGTTGTCGATTTTTCGTGCGCGAGTCAAAGAACTGGCAGCGCGAATGGCAGCGTGTGTTTACATTGAGCCCTCTTGTTTAGTTAATTCATTACAGTAAGCAGACATGCAGCTGTTGCCGCAACAACCTCGACGTCCGCCATCTTTGCGAGTCGCCCGGTAAATAAGTATGAGGGTGAGTAAACGACACTCACTCGCGTTGACTACCGTCGACGCTGACGCGGCAATATTTCCGGCAGCGCGAGTGGCAGGGGAAGTGGCTGAATGTAAAAGTGGCATATAGATGTTATACTTACCATCAGCGTTAGGTAGGTTCTGGCTTTGCGTACTACTGGCGCTGCTACTGCGCGTACTCTCAGTCGACCCGTCCGTCTCGTCCTATCAAACACACAACCTTCACGTACATGCTAATATGGACCCTACGTGTAACAACATACGGTTTTATTTATGAATTGCTTATATTGGTTCGATCGTAAAGAGCACACCAAACAGATGTTATGATGAATGAGTGATAATGAAATGAGACTGATTCAATTCTAAACCAATATAATTGCGATTGTAAAAACTATAATTTAAAAATGTATGTATGTGTAAAAAGGAAAGAAACAGTCATCCATCCCTTTCTCTTTTCTACAAATAAATGCATGTCAGGTCAGAACACTTACCAGATTCATCAGTATTAAACAATTTATGGTTAGTTCCTGATGAATTCAGCAGGTATACTGACATGGCATTATTCTTATCCTGACATTTTTTATAGCATAGGGGATAAACGCGCTTGCAGTTCACCTGATGGTAAGTGTTTACCCGCAACACCAAGGGAATTGCAAGTGTGTTACCGGCCTTTTAAGGAATAAGCTCTTTTCTTTAGTATACAGTATCAATAAATTCAGTTTATGCTAGCAGAAACACCGTTCTATCAATATATATATATAATTAGGAGTTGATCCATCTGTAGATAAGTAACTACTAAAATAAGTATTTATTTAAGTGAATTTCTGCTTAGTATATCTTACGATCAACCCTATATACAAGGTGCTCAATAATATGTTTCATATATGATCAATTTAAAAACTACTTTTATAGTACAATAACATTCGAAAAATTGGTGAATTTATAACGAGGAGTTTGAACTTAAAAGTTAAATTTCTAATAAAATATACATGACATAATTTTCCTAACTACATAAACAAACATTTTATATTTATAAATCATTGAACTCCTTGTACATAAGCAAATTCATTTATATACGCCAGTCCAATCCAGAAAATAATATAATTATTTTATATAAAATCTAGCTATGTTTTTTATGTGAATGATGACTACTGCTATTTACATTATCAAGTAGTATAATATTTACAATGACATACTGAAAGATTTATAACTTATTATATATGCTGTGTAAGTAATTGAAACAAGTCTTCGTAACAATTTTATTTTATACACCACATTTTTTTCCTACCACGGTGGTAATCAATGCAGTCGTAAAGGGTATAAACCGAGAGCGAGTAATACCATTCAAGAAAGTGTACAACAACCCCAAAGATGCTATATAACAATAGAATAGAATAAGAATAGAAAATCATTTATTCAAATAAACTTACATTGAAGCACTTTTGAATAGTCATTACATTTTTTAATCTACCGCTCATTCGGAAAGCTGTCTCATCACAAGAAGAACGAGCAAGAAACTTGCGTGTTGCTCTTTTAAATAATTTTATTATTACTTTACATTTTTAAGTTTAAGTGTGTGAATACAAACCACCAATTAGCATTAATTCAATTAAATACTCAAAGTAACGACAGTACAAATCTTATGTGATATTCTACTCATGCATCCATTCATACATCTAATTCAATCCACCATCAGATTCAAATGGGGATCGAAAATACGACGCCCTGAGTCTAGGTCCTAATAACTAGCGGTGCCCTCAGACTAAAGTCGTATCCGTCAGGCAGTTGGTTGGTTAAAGAAAATATCTCCTTTCGAAATTACTTGACCCCTCCCATCAATCCACGGATCATTCATACGGAGATCGAAATTACGACCGAGACGAGGTTAGTACCCCTAGCGGTGCCCTCAAATTAAAGTCGTATCTTTAAAGCAGGAGTTGGCCTTCAGCCGCTCCAAAAATCCGAGGTTCGTACCCCTAATGGTGCCTTCAAATTACAGTCGTATCTTTAAGGCAGAAGTCAGCCGCTCCATAAGTCTTTCCGCAGGTTTAGAGTGCCATGTACACTTATCGTTCAGTGAAGCTGTAAAAGCCAACTGCCAACAGCATTAGAATAGTTACAAAAAAAGAGGCACTCCTACCAATACCATTCAACTCTTATCCCTAACTCTAAAACAGGACGAGCACAAAAGATCTCCGTAGATACAGAGCTACTGATCTAAGCGCTAAACAATAGCCCAAAACTCTAAAACTATAAAATAAGAAGTTAAGATCAAATATGTAAATAGTTGTAAACTACTTACTTACTACTACTTGTTCATGTTCAACATTTATTTTCAGATTAAAGGGTTACAGTTGCACGAGTATTTTACCTTGCTTTCGCCTTTTTTTATACCCTTTACGACTTACCCCGCATTTAGATAATTGAAGCTGTTTAAGAACTCAAGTTGTTTCAAAACTATTGCTAATACATCTTTTATTTAGTCATTATTATGAGATTAATGATAAAAATCACATATATCGTAGTGCTGTTTAGTAATTTGGAAACCTCTAAAAGATCCCTTTAGTATAACTTACACAAGCTGTGTTTCGGTTATAAGGTGCGTTTAGATAGTGAAATTACAGGATAAGAGTCACGACATTTTAGTTCTCTGGAATAGTATGAGTATTTAATAGAATTACTGCTAATTGGTGGTTTGTATTCACACACTTAAACTTAAAAATGTAAAGTAATAATAAAATTATTTAAAAGAGCAACACGCAAGTTTCTTGCTCGTTCTTCTTGTGATGAGACAGCTTTCCGAACGAGCGGTAGATTAAAAAATGTAATGACTATTCAAAAGTGCTTCAATGTAAGTTTATTTGAATAAATGATTTTCTATTGTATTCTATTCTATAGCAACGCATAGCAGTCAGCTTGTTTGACAATCCCAAGGTATAAATATAATTTGTACTCATATATCATTAAAATAAATAGTTATTGTAACGATATGATTATTAATCCTATTTCAAACCAGACACAGCTTTTTTACCAACAGAATCTACTTATTTATTGTTAGACCTCCAATACATAAATTTCTATTTAAAAAATTAAAATGACAAACAAGTTGACGTACCGGCCTACGGTAAATGGTAAACTATGTATATATATATGGATATTACACAATACATTATAGTACCCTTGCTACCACATATACCATTCCCAAGGACTAAGTTAACATGCTTCCATGCCAAGTAACTGATAAATAAAGATATAACAAGAGGTTTATCATATAAATCGAAAGCCAGTAATTAAGAGAAATGTTTCCCTCTTTTAATTATGAATAGATGTCATTTTTATAAAATGAAACACAATACAGTACCATAAACTTATCTGAACCAATGACAGTGTCACAATTTTTTTTATTAATATGGTTTACGGCTCTGTATACAAGTCCTTTTTGCCTAACTTAAAGTTTGATTTAGTATTGCTAGTAAATACAATAATAAAAATTAGTTCCAATTTTAGCCACCGGCTCAGATAAATTTGTAGCACTGCACTTTCTCTGAATTGAACAGCTAGTAAAATAAAATGAATGAAAACCAACAAAATTTAAATAGGTGACCGAGATATTGCGATTCTCAGTACGAAAATCCTCTTAAAGCTGTTGTATTGTTACAGAAACATGCTAAAAACTGCCAACTATAAAAACATCACAAACTACACAAAGCGAATATAAAAATAACCAAATAATAGGACGTATGACACAGCGCCATCTAGTACCAAACTAGACAATATCGTTAATTACTAACACAACTAGACATACAACCATATATAGTATACATGTAATATTAAATACGTACTATTTTTTTTAAAGACTAAAGATAGCTAGGAATTATTTTAAAAATCAAATATATAACATATCTTATATTTTATTGTAATATTTTGCATTTTGTATAGTTTTGAGAGAGCAATTTGTATAAATCATTTATATTGAATGTTTTATTGTATTTGTCTTGATGTATCATAAAGTCATATATATTACACATGTTTTAATATATATGTTAAAACATATGTAATATATATGATTTTGTAAATACATACATCTTTTTGTACAGATCTACATATGTATGGTATGGTTAAAAGTGTGGTCTAAATGGCGCTGTGTGACACATTCTGGCCTATTTATTGTACTATTAACAGTTATAGTTTACATCAAAAAATGTACAAGAGGTAGCAAAACACAAATATGATGTAATGGAAACAGCCAACTAAAAAGTAGACAACTACTCTAATTCAACTTACATAAAAAAACATACACGCAAGTATAAAAATTAGTACGATTGACCTCTAAGCAAGCAAACTAAACCTATTAACTTTGAATAAACTTAGATTTCTTACGAATCAGAAATTACATTTTCAACTTGTTGCTTTTTAAAGACCAAAGTAATAAATATTCTCATCGAGACAAGTTCATGAGAATTACTTAATTACTCGTTCTGGACACAAAATCACATGCTCTACATTTAAATAAAATACGCACGCACATTACTGAAATTACAAAGCACTCTACTAGCAACAAAACTAAGTTACATGTAAGTCAGATAGAAAAGGAAGTAACTCCAGCCCTACGTGTAATACCTAAGGATTTCCGCATACTAATATCGCGCCTTCAAACAACACAGATATGGGACAATCACAAGTTACAGTCGATTATAAGCCGTCGTACGCTGTGTTAGAGACGAAAGCACGATGGACATCACAGTGGCATGTTGTACCTCACAAATCCTCATAGACAATTTCCCAAAGCACTCCAAAAGGCTGTGCAGGCAGTGACGCGGTATATACACTACTTAGTCATGTGTGTAAAACTATATTAAATGTGAAAGCAAATAACAACTGAAATAGAAAATAAAAAGAAGAAATGCATTTTAATACAAAAACTCAGTATAATTTCGAAGCATTATGAACAGATTTGTATGATTGTAATTGTTATTATGTATGATATTGGATGGTGCTATTTTTACAATACGCATGCGTTAAAAATATTCCAGTGCAATTCACACAGCGCAGTTAATGTATACAATAGGTATGACCATTTTGTTATATTTGTTTTAATAAGTCAAGTTATACATATTGTATAAAAAAAAGATTTATGTGTTCATTAATTATTATAATTCTTATAATTAAAATAATAATAATAATAGTAGATGTATAAAAACAATATTTAAATAATCAGCAATATGTGTCAGTCAGTCCGATGGGGATAAATATGTACCTGTGATGAACTTTAGCTAATTCATAGACATATATATAAATGAACGAAGAATGTTAACTAAATGATATATATAGTAAAGCATAATGGTAAAAACTGTTTTAGTTGTACCCATGGTAAACGCCAAAACCGATGCAATTGAAATGAATGTAGTTATTGTATAGTAAGCGATGATATGTACATACGCGTCACGCCACACGCCCCAGTACCAACCAATCTTACCTCAGAATCCGAACTCGCCGTCCTACGTCGAGTGACTGGCGACCTCGTCGGACTAGCCCCGGTCGGTGTACTGAAATGGTTCTCGTCAAACGTCAACGACTCTTCTGCAAACTCATCTGTCTCATTCCCAGTTAGTTCTACTTCTCCATTCTCTCGCCGTTCAATAACCTGATTATTGTCATTTTCAACTTCTATCGCATTCTCATCTGTAACTTGCGTTTGACTCTCCTCGTTAATATTAATTCTCTCGCTTTCTAGCTCTGCATCTGCACCATTATGTACAGCCTCTGTTTCTTGACTAGCATTCTCATCACCGTCGACTTGAGCAACATCATTGTCGTTGTCCTGATCCGCGTTGCGTACACGCTCTATAGCCTCGTTTGCGCATACAACATCGTCTTCACAGTTATCCCTTAAATTACTATCACAGTCGGTTTCACTTAAACTAGTCTGCGCAACATTCTCTGATTCTTCCTCGAGAACGTCACCTCCTGTTCCCTCTGTTACTATATCTGGGGAACGTATTGGTGTGGAAAAAGGTGTTGGCTCTGTTGAATTTGTCGCCCCGCTTCTATTGCTTAGATCCTCCTGTTAGAGAATATTTTATATTATGTGCTACAAACTTATGTCTGCAGGTTGGATTTGGTCGCGTTTTCTGGTTCATTTTTTTACATGGCTGCACATATAAGTTTGCAGGGTGACTGTTTATTTTTTTGTTATTAGAAATAGAACTGTTATTGTTTATTGCAATGGAAACGTTATGGATAGATCTTAGGATAGTGTTAGATATCTGTGTGCTTGAATTGTCTATGACAGTGAGGACAACACAATGTTTGTCTGCGAGTTGTTTGTTGGTGTGGACACCCGCCCTATTAGTGTCTGTGTTGCAATGATAGCATTAATATCATTGTCAGTAACGTTCAGTTGTGCACTCACTCTAGTTACAGGCTAACAAATAGTATTATTTCAACAAGCGGTAACTAATCTGAATGTCTGGATAGAGATTTTGAGTTGGTTTGGTTTGGTTGGTTTAGATAATTTACCGAAATTATTTAAAATCCATAATTATACAAAATGTATGTAACTGATCGCCATTTACATGGTTGATATGTGGAGAAAACTATTATTGGTGACTTTATCAACGCAATAGAACTCTAAGTAAATAATATTAATTATTGTAAAATTGATCTAAGAAATTGTTAACAGATTTGGGTGCAGTTCTCCCTACTGTAATAAAAGTAGGCTTCACTTTAAATTTTGAGTTTATACTAATTACAACAAGACGTAGAGAGCGGCTCTACCCATACACTGTTGACTTCCCAGCTGCTCGAACCACTCGTTTTGCACATCTTTCCTTATGCGAGCAGCTAAGGAGTGGAACTCTCTACCAGTGTCTATTTTTCCTGCCTCTTACAACATTGGGTCTTTCAAGTGAAGATTGAATAGGCACTATTCGAGCTTGTGTGTAACAGCTTAGACCACATCATCACTTAACATCAGGTGAGATTGCGGTCAAACGCGCTCAAATTTTAATATAAAAAAACGGGATACAATGTTTCTGCTTTATCTATTAATATATCATCATTAGATAGTATAAAACAAAGTCGCTATCGCTATCTGTCCGTCCCTATATGTGCTTAAATCTTTAAAAATACGCAACGGATTTTGAAGCAATTTTTTTAATAGATAGAATAATTCAAGAAGAAGGTTCATAAAATTAAAAAGAAATCATAATTTATTTTATTCATGTAGGTCTATTACAGACTCTTATGATATGTCAAATCTACCGTCAGTTCGGAATAATTTCGAGATGAGAAGAACTGACAAGAAACTCAGCTCGTATTCTTTTCAAATTAATATTATACATGTAATACAGATTAATTTTTAAATTCAAACTTGGGAGAATAGTGTGACCACCAGCATACGCTATATATAATACATGTACACCCGTGCGAAGCCAGGGCGAGTAGCTGGTAGATGATATTTATAATAGAGTACATAGAGTGAGTACACAACTTCATGAAATGATTTCCAAGTTAGTTACGATTGTTAGTGAAGATATGTCCGCATTTCTGCATTAATGTCTATATATCACTTCCTACTCTGCAAATTTGTATACTAAACTCCCTTTAGAATCTTTATACATTTAACACCGTGTCATAGTTAAAAGTTATTTGTAATACATTTGACTCATTCAATATCTGTCCGAAGATTACTTCGACAAGGTACTAAATATTTACATGCAATACTCAAACATCTATGTTCATAGATCATGCATATAGACAATAATTTATTTTTCCTCTGACACACATATCTAAAAATTTTCAAATAAAATTGCTTCAAAGCTGAATTTAGTAAAAAAAAACTATAATAAAACACAAAGCACAGAATAACTAACAAGACAAGATTTTCTTTGGTTTATTTATTAATTTGATTTTGCTTTTAATTTATTTTTCTATTGTATAAATAAAACATGTAATGTTGTTTTTCTTCTCTTTCTTTTAATGTTTACTACATAAAGCTCCATTAATATTTAATAGAAAATAGAAAACTAACACTTTGTTATAATAGAATAGAATAAATCATTATTTAAATTATTTAAAGTTTTATTTTTAAAGTATTTTATTTACCAAAAAAATTATATTTATTAATAAATAAAATATTACTTTTATATTACTTTTAGTCATATTATTTATTAATAGTAAATAAAAAGTGCATTATTGGACTCCAATTGGAGTATAATTCGCCATCGTCTCAAAAGAAATTAATATAAAAATCATTAAAAGACTAAATGAATTGAAATAAAATAATGGTACAGTTTAGTACATTGTTCCTTATCTTGTTGTTTATTCCATACAAAAAATGATAATAAAATGCCATTTAACACTCAAATATTGTAATAATATTTAGTGTTTTATATTCTAGAATACATGCTACATCAAATAATGTATGCAATGTACAATAATAAACAATTTACTTGCATTTTGATTAGATATTTTTAAAATAGTCTAAGATACAATCGTACATGCATTCTACTGTGTTAATACATACATACATACATATTTTCAAAAGTTATAAGTTTCACTTCTTAATATTTGATTAACACGTTAAAGACCACATGCCCACCGGTGGGTCACTCCGCAGCGGAAGTAAATTTACACGTTGGGACCGGGTGATCACCCGTGGGCACTAATTGAAATAAATCTAGGTTGTCTACCTCAAATTATTGTACACTAAATACATATTTGACGACCTCGGTGGTATAGCGGTCCAGCACACCGCTTTACGTCCAATGGTCGCGGGTTCGATTCCTCGCGCGGCACAAACATTTGTATTCACGAGTATGACTGTTTGTATCGGTCTGGGTATTTTCTATGTATATTATGTATGTATTTACGAAAAAAACATCTATGTACTTGTATCAGTTATCTAGTACCCATAACACAAGTTTTAGCTAGCTTAACTTGGGACTAGATGGCGCTGTGTGAATTGTCCTGAGATTATTATTATTATTATATTTAAAAAATTATATACGTAATTAACAATAAAAAAAATGTCGGTCTCTATGTGAGAAATAAGGTTTTTCAATGCGATCCTTAACGTGTTAAGACCTAGTTATCAATCAAACCCAATTTTCAATCCTAAAAAATAATACCCTGTTAATTGTTTTTACATATATTTAATTATGGTTGTTTTGATAAAAAAAAACTCAAGTATCATTAGTTATTAACTTATCAATCAACAACCAGGTATCAAACAAATACTTATTAAACTATTTTAGCTATTGATCAATACCTCAATCCGGACCTAGTCAATAATCGCCTTGATTTATCAATCACGACAAATTTATCAACTGATTGTAGATATCAATGAATAGTAATTATCAATTAGTTATGAATTCTAGACAATAATCATTTCCGGTCATTTTTTACACCGAATGTGCTAAAATAATGTACTTGTTTATACAAGCACACGTCTGGTCTGATGGTAAACCGTTAACACAAACAGTATTTAAACACCTACAATATCAGGAGACTATAAAATAACGGAATAAAAGATAATAGTGTACAGTATTTTCATTGCCATATTTGACAATTCAAAACAGAACAATGCTATCTTCTGTTTTGACATGCAGTTATTACCCTGCTAGGTAATAACTGCATGTAGCCAAAAAATAGGTATGACCTATGACGCCACGACCTATGGGGACTGTATAAAAAAATTGCCATCAATGAATTACTATAGGAATGGTCCATCAATACATTTGGATTCTGGAAAACAGTTGCTAGTTCTCAGAATATTTTATTCAATGTATAACTAATTTTTGCCAACCCTGATGCTGTACTAAAATATTTGTATACCAAAACCAGCAACTCTGTATAATAAATCTGTACCTTATACCCCTAATAATAAGGTTCAATATTCAGTCATTATTGAGACTCAATCAAAAATACAACTCTAAAGGAAACATGTACCTATACTTTGATACGTTATATGTCAGTCGGACAATGCAAAATGTATCTTATAAATGAATATATACGGTGCATATTAATGTACCGAAAGTTTGATAAGTTATAAGTCAGACGGGCAATCCAAAATGTATCTTAAGATTTAAAATATACGGTGTATATTAATTTATCTAAAGTTTGACAACTTAAAATCAGTTGGACAATGCAAAATGTATGTTATAAATCAATATATACAGTGAATTTGCTAAGTTTTATGTCAGTCGAGCATTTCAAAATGTTTCTTATATATGAATATATACGGCGTATATTAATATACCTAAAATTTGCCAAGTTATAAGTCAGTTATACAAAGCAAAATGTATCTTATGCTTCAATATATACGGTGTATATTACCTGGTGCTGCGAGGATACTGGGCTGGAGTGTTCATCGTCTGCAGAGATGTGGAACCGCCTCTGGAACTCAGTGGCCGCTGTCTCCATTCGCTCAGCTTGCGACTCCACGCTTTGGTTGCGGCTAATTAAAACAAGTAACGTTTAAAATTTATTTGTTATAGTACAGGGGACAAACGAGCTTCTGGCTCGCCTGATGGTAAATGATTACTGCGGCCTATGAGCACCCGCAACACCAGCGGAATTGCAAGTACGTTGGCGGCCTTTTAAGAAGGAATAAGCTCTTTTCTTGAAGGTTTCAATATCGTATAGGTTCGGAAATGCCATTACTGGAAGGTGATTCCACAATGTAGTTGTGCGTGGCAAAAAGTTTCTAGAAAACCGCACTGTGGTGGACCGACATTCATCCATATCATCATAATGGTGTTTTAGTTTCTGTTTTTTGTATATTTTATTTATTTATTTTTATTATAACTAGCTGCAACCGCGACTTCGTCCGCATGGAATTTAACTTTATTTTTCCAAAATAAAAGTAGCCTAAGTTCTCCTTCTGACATCAGTTACATGCCAAAAAAGTCCCGTTAAAATCGGTCCAGCCATTTCAGAGATTTGCCGGAACAAACAGATTAGACAGACAGACAAGTTGTAAAAAGTGTTTTTTTGGTGTGTATGTACCGTATTTATATTCATATGCATGTAGTAAAAAACGGTTATTTCAATATTACAAACAGACACTCCAATTTTATTTATATGTATAGATGTATAGATCTATAAAATAAATTTATTACAGCAACATTAGCTCGGTTTTTTTTTTATTTTTTAAGTATTATCTGTTGCTCTCTTTATGGCTATATCCTTTTAGCTAATATATTTATGGCAAAAAAATCATACTGAGTACTTCCGCTGCTAGCGTTGCGTAAACAGTTATACAAAAAATACATAAGTATGGACGGAATAGTTCTCCTTAAAAAGATTAAAAAAATCCCCAGACATATATCTATCTTTTAAGGTTATAGTAATAACCTGTTTTATGGTAATCAAATTACTTTTAAAATAATGCCTTATTTGCGACGGTGTTTTTATAAAAATGATATAAATATTTATCCAATTAAATTCGTTACTCATTGAACCTCAAATATTGGGCATGTGCAAAGTCGGGGCGGGTTGCTAGTCTTAATAATATTATAAACGCGAAAGTTTGTAACTCTTTCACGCAAAAACTACTGAACGAATTTTAATGACACTTTAACATAATAACAACACCTATATTTTATATTGAAATTTAACGCGAGTGAATCCGTGAGCACAGCTAGTATAATAGGAATCCATAAAGTAACTCACTGATCGTCGTTGAATAAAATATATAATATTCTCACGTGAACGTAGGCCGTTCCCATTGGGTGGTCCTCTCGATGTGGTTCACGTAGTAGGTCCGGCCGTTGCCGTCCTGCCGCTCCTCCCAGCCTTGTGGCAGAGTCTCACCCACCAGCGTCTGTAGAATAATGTCCATAAACACTGACATATATGTAGAATTTAGTGAGAGCAAGTGATAGTTTTTTTTTTATTTATCAGGACAGTTAGCACAGCGTTTCGAAGTCCCAAGCTAAGCAGAGCTTGGGTTATAGGACTAGTACACATAACACAAGCTCTGCTTAGATTGGGACTAGACTTCTAAGTGTGTGTGGAGTAGAGTAAGTTAATTACATAAAGGTTCATATTCTCTTCAAATAATAACAATCCCTTCTTACATTTGCAATACATTAGTATTAATTAACGGTTTTTTAGTAGAAACTATAAAAGTCCAAAGCAGATCAGAAAAAAATATTATTTATTTATTTCTATCTCTATTCAGTTGCTTTATAAATTATTTATTTATAAAAAAAGCAAGTACAAACTTGCTTTTTTTTTGGTTTTTGCTGTTTGCTTTCTCTCTCACATATATCTGTTTCCCTTTCACTCAACGTTCCATTTCACGCATCAACCTGTACAAACTCACATACATAGATATTGCATTGCATGCACTATGACTATGCATGTCAATTTATCCCTCCAGTTGCAATTATTAGTTAGAAAACTTTAATTTAACTCTAAATCACAGTTTTCCATAATACATAAATAACATTTCAAGAAATGTTTAGAGATTTAATAAAAAATTTGTATCGATTTGATTCATACATGAAATGAATCAATCTATAAAACTTTTATGGAAGAAAGTGTACACAAATATATAATATTTTTTTATTTATATTTCAAAAATTAAGGTGCAGATAAGAGATCTTTGGGGGAGGCCTTTGTTCAGTAGTGGACGTCTTCCAAACTGGAATGATGATGATGATGATTTAAGTTCCAAACCCCAATTCTATTCATTGCTATTCCATTCCACCATTAATTTAGAATAAATTAGGATGTCATACTAATCTTACACAATATAAAACAGCAGAGTAACTCTAAGTTAAATAATAAAAGTGCACTACCAGTTCCGGGGCGTCGATCAGCTCCCAATCGCAGCCGATGGTAGATGGTACCGTCCCCACCTGGTACCCATACCTCTCTAAGTGTTGGTAAATATATCTCTACGCACCATCACGCGGATTTAGTATCAATACATATTTCCCGGGGGAGGGGCTGAGAGAGAGAGAGAGAGAGAGAGAGAGAGAGAGAGAGAGAGAGAGAGAGAGAGAGAGAGAGAGAGAGAGAGAGAGAGAGAGAAGAGAGAGAGAGAGAGAGAAGAGAGAGAGAGAGAGAGAATTGCAATTATATGTTTATAGTCCTATCAGATCGACCTCCAGGCACCCCTCCCCTTTCTAAACCATTGCGGTTAGTTACTGGTAAATTCACTACGATTTGGTTTTGATTATTTTACTGACTTATTTTTAATCATTCTTTTTGGAACTAAGATAGAATATATAATTAAGTAAAATCATCAATTGCTCGTTCTTCTTGTGATGAGTCTGCGTTCTGGACTATTGGCAGAATATCAAGAATGTTGACTATTCAAAAGTACTTTGGCGCGTGCAAAGTCATAGTTAATGTTTATTTAATTACATTTAATTAAAAAAGCAACACGCAAGTCTCTTGCTCGTTCTTCTTATGATGAATCTGCGTTCTGAACGAGTAGTAGAATATAAAAAATGTGACTATTCAAAATTGCTCATATTACTTTGCCTGTAGACGCAGTTTATTTTAGAAATAGAAATAATGATTCGTTATAATAACCTTATTTTAACGAATCATTATTTCTATTTCTAAAATAAACTGCGTCTACAGGCAAAGTATAATGTAATAGTGTACAATATCTCAGGGCAATTCATACAGCGCCATTTAGTCCCAAGCTAAGCAGACAAGGTTTTTCGGTACTAGACAACTGATATAATACGTAATTTTTTTTGTATTGTTAGGTTATTTGAATGAAGATTATTTTTCTGAGTAGTTACCGAGTGCACCTCCCCGGTGTTGGGCGCGGGCTGCACCAGCTCCCAGTCGTCGGCGGCGGCGGCGTCGGCGGCGGCGGCCAGCCCCGGCTCCCCCACGCGCCCCACCAGCGCCGCGTACACCTCGATGTGACCTCGAACACGGGACCGAGCACTGCCGAAACCATCGTTCCAAAATCACTAGTTCATGTAGGATTTTCGCGCAAACTACCTTATATATTTTATCGTTAGTTTTTTATGACTGATTACAAATGATCACTCAAAATTAAAAATTTGCATTTTGATTTGAATTTTAATTCGAAAAAAAAACTTCAGCATATTAATATAAAAACACTTCCAACAGAAATGAACGGAGCCTGTCTTTAAAAGGTCTCCAATTGTTTTTAAACCATTGGGCAATGACATTTAAAACTAAATTTATATAAAAAAATATTCTTTTCTAAATTTTCTTTCAATTCCTAAATTCTGAACCAATTGGTCGATTTTTTATGTCTAAATTTGAGCGCATTTGACCGCAGTCTCACCTGATGTTAAGTGATGATGCAGTCAAAGCTACTACAAGCTCGAATAGTGCCTATTCACTCTTGATTTGAAAGCCTAATGTTGTAAGAGGCAGGAAACATAGACGCTGGGAGAGAGTTCCACTCCTTAGCTGCTCGCATAAGGAGAAATGATGCAAAACAGTTGGTAAGAGCAGCAAGGATGTCAACAGTGTATAGGAGGAGCCGCTCTGTACGTCTTATTGTACAGTGCTGGAGAAATGAGGTTGTGGAGTTCATAGAACACCGATGGACAAGCCTCTTTACGTCGGTGACTAAGACTTTGAAGCCTCCTAGCCACAAGTGATTCGTCGCCGATGAGTCTCCTTATTATCCCCAATACGGTACAAAAAATGTTATATACTATTTTTAACAAAAAAAACACTCTGTTATACTACCTAAGTAAGACAAACAACAATCAAACTCAAACAGATCATGCACCAACCACGGCCTGGCCAGCGAGGCTTATACAGATTACGCTATATAGTTCAATAAAGGGACAACAGAACACATCTATGTAAATAACTGCCTTTATACGTACACTCTTTCACACGCGAATCCTTACTATGCTGGAACCCCGCGCTAAATCGCGCGCGATAGCGCGTGAACGAACGTATCGTGTAAAGGCAAATAATAAAATACAATAACGCACGGATGCGCGCTGCCTTTCCCGCGCTAAATCGCGCGCGATAGCGCGTGAATGGACGTATCGTGTAAAGGCAGATAAAATACAATAACGCACGGTCGCGCGCGTGAATGGACGTATCGTGTAAAGGCAGATAAAATACAATAACGCACGGTCGCGCGCGTGAATGGACGTATCGTGTAAAGGCAGATAAAATACAATAACGCACGGTTGCGCGCGTGAATGGACGTATCGTGTAAAGGCAGATAAAATACAATAACGCACGGTTGCGCGCGTGAATGGACGTATCGTGTAAAGGCAGATAAAATACAATAACGCACGGTCGCGCGCGTGAATGGACGTATTGTGTAAAGGCAGATAAAATACAATAACGCACGGTTGCGCGTGAATGGACGTATCGTGTACAGGCAGATAAATTACAATAACGCACGGTTGCGCGCGAATCGCGCGTGAATGGACGTATCGTGTAAAGGCAGATAAAATACAATAACGCACAGTTGCGCGCGCTGTATTTCCCGCGCTAAATCGGCCGCGATCAAGAGTGCGATAAATAAGGGTAGCTATTTAGGGGGCTGTGTAAGGGCAGCTATTGACATAGACCTAAGCAATCTATATAATATACTTAGACCACTCTGTAGATACTTGAGTAACCGGGAATGGTTATTAAACAAATCATGCACCATTTACATGGAAATATTTCCTTCGGAGACTGCACGGACTGCTCTGTACAAGTTACTTTTAAATTTTCGAGTTTAATACGAGTAAACATTATTTATATTGTTAACCGGGTCTTAACACGAATAATTTTAAGGTAAATAATGTGTACACGACGGAATCGATTAGAAAATAAGTTTTAGCTGTAATTAGTATAATAAGTCATCCTCAATAAAATATATTTTTTATTGCTCTAAATATAAGTAATTAGCATAAGCAGAATTTGTATATAAGTATAGATAAGATCATTTTTTGTTAATAATAATTATGTGTAAATAAATCACACGCAACGTACAGTTGCAGTAGGGAAGGCCACCCGTCGGGCGTCTATATAAACAGCGCGGCCGCGCAGCGGACCGTCCAACGTCCGGTGAAGCTGTAAAGGCCAGCTACGGCCAACAGCATTTGTGTAGTCCGAAAAAAAAAAAGCAGCGGACCGCATTCACTGGCGAGACAGCGACCCGATAGGTGCCTTCCTACTAAGTGCAAACAACCGAGCATTTTTACTTCGCCGTCCGACCATACGACCAGGGATCCTATAGTACATAGTCCTGTCACCATCATAATGGTATTTACTTCGACGTTTCGACTATAGTCTGTTTTTACCTTTATTTACCATAGAAGTATTCACCTCAAGACCCGTTTAACAATATAAATAATTTCCTAACTATTAAACACGTATAATACTATGGAGTTGTCTAGTTCTATCTAGATGGATTTCTTCATTGCAGTTGTTTTTTTATTATTACTAGCTAACCCATGCAACTTGGTCTGCATTACACTTACTTGACATTTACATTATATGTCTAATTTACATAATATCCTTTTGAAATCATAGCCCATCTGTTATTCTTGTGTATAAGCTATATTACTGTAAAGTTTCATCAAAATCCGTTCTGTAGTTTTTGCGTGAAAGAGTATCAAACGTCCATACTCACAAACTTTCGCGTCAATAATATTAGTAAGTATAATCCTCGGTGCAACCACAGCGTCGAGATTTTGCCGCCGTCGTCGCTAGCAAACCGGCTGCTTCAGTACAGCGGCGTGTGCCAAAAACGGCACTGAACATTGACCCTACGTGTGCTGCCACTGGCAACCGCGACGATGATGGCTTCGTCGTGGTACAAAAGAAGAGGCGCACAAACAAGGTCAATAGGAATCATTGTGGCACTGCACTCACTGGGCCCAACTTTCTGCTGCGTGCTGCTACACCGACCACGACAATGTACCTGTCCCGTCTACATTACGCCACTAAGGAGCAGGACATTGTCGATTATATTCGTACCAAGAGTAACCTGACATTGAGGGTAACGCAGCTGAAGTCGAGTCACAACGCGAGTTTCAAAGCGTTTGTGGCCCTGGTCCCCACCGACTTGCTGCCCACCTTCATGAAAGAGGACTACTGGCCGAAAGGTGTGGTGTATCGGCGCTACCGTGGCAGATTGCCGTCTTCAGTGCCGTGATCACACAGACAATATTATTGTATTAGTTTTTAAATATTATATTATATGTATGTTAGTCTATAAGGTATTTATAATATGGGCCTAGTTGCCTGAAATAAATGAATAAATAAAATAAATAAATATCATTGTTCATAATACTCTATACTACGTGAGTGAAAGAAGAAAGGGGGTGAGGAGGGTGTGGGGGGCGAGGGGGGGGTGATAGAATAGAACACATCATGCACCACTTACGCAGACCTGCGAGGCCTCAGCGGGTACTTGAGCGGCGAGGGTCTAACGTTGGCCGCACTCTCTGTGGGCACGCCCGCCAGCGGCACCTCCACCATGCCGAGGAAGTCGTCCCTCGTCAGCCGGTTCTCGTCGAACACCTGGATCACCAACTTGTGCTCCTGGGGGTTCACCTGCAAATTAATAACCATAATATCAGGACAATTCACACAGCGCCATCTAATCCCAAGTTGAGCAAAGCTTGTGTTATGGGTAGCAGACAACTGACAGATACATTTAGATATATTTTTTAGTAGTTGCCACTACATGTGTAATTAATGATAAATAAATAACCCTGAACAATTAACACAACGCCATCTAGTCCCACTGTAGGCAGAGCTGGTGTTATGGGTACTAGACAACTGATATACTTTTTTTTTTGTAAATACATAGAAAACACCCAGACAATCATACTCATAAATACAAATGTTTTGTAATTTGTGAGGAATCGAATCCGCGACCATCCGAAATAAGGCGGTGTTAAACGGCCAGGCCACCGAATCCTACCGAAACCCGAAATTACCGAATTTAATCGATTCACAGTCGCGGGAACTATTAACGAGAAATAATATTGTTGCATGTAAACATTAGCGCCATTTGCGCGTCTATACACCAACCTACTATGTTCCATCTCTAATGGATATTCTGATCTGTGCTTTTTTTTCTTGCTGCACATACACATGTATTTTCATTATCATTACATAGTATAAAATAAAGTCGCTGTCGCTGTCTGTCCGTCCCTATATATGCTTAAATCCTTAAAACTACGCAACGGATATTGAAGCAGTTTTTATAATAGATAGAGTGAGTCTAGAGGAAGGTTTATATATATAATACATGTACACCCGTGCGAAGCCGGGGCGAGTAGCTAGTAAAATATATTTGTAAATTGCTGTTTTCTGTTATAAAATACAATAAATATAAAACAATTACCTTAAATACAAACTCCTGATTCCATTTAGGATTTAAAGTCTGAAAACAGAACAGAGAAAAATTCATAAATGTTTGTTTTATGTCAGTTCTTAGCTCGAAATCATTCCGAACTGATGGTAGATTTGACATATCATAAGAGTCTGTAATAGACCTACATGAATAAAGATATTTTGACAGTCATTTGAAAAGAATACGAGCTAAGTTTCTTGTCAGTTCTTCTCATCTCGAAATCATTCCGAACTGACGGTAGATTTGACATATCATAAGAGTCTGTAATAGACCTACATGAATAAAGATATTTTGACAGTCATTTGAAAAGAATACGAGCTGAGTTTCTTGTCAGTCTTCTCATATCGAAATCATTCCGAACTGATGGTAGATTTGACATATCATAAGAGTCTGTAATAGACCTACATGAATAAAGATATTTTGACAGTCATTTGAAAAGAATACGAGCTGAGTTTCTTGTCAGTCTTCTCATATCGAAATCATTCCGAACTGATGGTAGATTTGATATATCATAAGAGTCTGTAATAGACCTACATGATTAAAGATATTTTGACAGTCATTTGAAAAGAATACGAGCTGAGTTTCTTGTCAGTCTTCTCATATCGAAATCATTCCGAACTGACGGTAGATTTGACATATCATAAGAGTCTGTAATAGACCTACATGAATAAAGATATTTTGACAGTCATTTGAAAAGAATACGAGCTGAGTCAGTTCTTCTCATATCGAAATCATTCCGAACTGACGATAGATTTGACATATCATAAGAGTCTGTAATAGACCTACATGAATAAAGATATTTTGATAGTCATTTGAAAAGAATAAGAGCTGAGTTTCTTGTCAGTTTTTCTCATCTCGAAATCATTCCGATTACACAGTCATTAAAATTCAATTTGGGAGAATAGAGTGACCACCAGCATATGCTAATGCAAAAAACAAAAAATATAATCATAATTCATGTTTACAATAATTGTAAACATGTACACTTATTTGAAAATAATTCGAGCTGAGTTTCTTGTCAGTTCTCATCTCGAAATCTCCGTTCTCATTTCCGAACTGACGGTAGATTTGACATATCATAAGAGTCTGTAATAGAACTACATGAATAAAGATATTTTGAATTTGAGATATTTTGTCTGCTTGTGTGTTTAAAGCGGCGGTCAGTTTGCAGTGCACTATGCAATTACCTTTTTCTTTGTTTTGGTTAGAAACGTTTCTAGCGTGAAGTCGCCGTCTACTTTCTGCAGCTCCACACGCACATACGGATCACTGAAATTGAGGACAAACAGTCTTATTAATATTAATAATAAAAAAGTCTGTATATATATATATATATATATATATATATATATAATATTTTGTATATATATGTGTTTATATCAGTTGTCTAGTATCTATATTGGGTGTCCCTCTCTTCTCGGTAAGTCGTACACTATTAGTGTGACCAATGAAATGACTTGTTTGATTGACTGATTTGATACTTAACTGCACCATTCTATAACCCAAGCTCTAATTAGTTTGGGTCTGGATGGCGGTATATAAACTGCCTGAGATATTATTATTATTTGGTTAATTGTTTAGTTCTGGTCAAAAACTTCTAAGATGGCTAAGATACTTCGCATATCTAGTAAAATACTGGTGTAATTCAGTAATTTTAAATCAGACTTTAATACCACATTTATAAGGTGGAATTTCCAAAATTTTTAATTTTTGAGTTAAGCCAGTATTATAATAAGTGACTTGTATCTTTCAATTAATCACAATACAACTTTCATAGACTCTTTAAGAATAAGTAGAACAAAATTTGGATCGGTGGAAATATCACCTTGACCTGGAGATATTATTATTATTTGGTCAGTTGTTTAGTTCCGGTCAAAAACTTCTAAGATGGCTAACATACTTGTATCTTTAAAATCATCACAATACAACCTCCATAGACTCTTTCAGAATAAGATCTTTGGTGGATAAGATATCTATATTATGGATAAGATATATCCGAATAAGTGGATCTTGTGTGGATAGATATTTGGATCGGGGGAAATATCACCTTGACCTGTTTGACCATTAGTAAAATAAGTTATAAAAACACCTATATACGTATAAAAGAAGGAAAACTCGCAATAAAACCCAATACCTATACGATTGGCCTACGTGACAAAAGCGTACAATCTCATTTGAAAACAGAGTATTTTTTTATTAAGGGTACTCTGTGCTTTAGACCTATAGCATACATATATACCTACACAGATCTATTCAATTCGTCCTTACGGCCTCGGTGGACTAGCAGTTAAGCACACCGCTTTACTTCCGATGGTCGCGGGTTCGATTCCTTGCAAACATTTGTATTCATGAGTATGATTGTTTGTATCGGTCTGGGTGGTTTCTATGTACATTATGTATATATTTACATTAAAAAAGTATATCAGTTGTCTAGTACCCATAACACAAGCTCTGCTTACCGTGGGACTAGATGGCGCTGTATTAGCTGTCCAGGGTTATTTATTTATTATTTATTTTAGAGCTCGCTGCCTAAATCAGTTAGGGACAAAATTAAAGGATATTTTTTAGGAGCGATAGTTTATCTCCTCAGGATAGTGTGCACTTTCCAAAGGAGATATTTAGTTTATGCCTTCTTTTGTTCTTAATACCCATAATGAGTATTTTGTATTATGCATCACAGTAAAGGTTGAAAATAAAGTCATTTTCATAATAGATATTTTGTTTTATGCATCACAATAAAGGTTGAAAATGAAAATAAAGTATTTTTGCATACTTTATTTGTATGTAAAAGTACAAAGTATAATTACCAAAAATAAAGTTGGATACGTTATTATAAAGTATGGTTGGCAACCCTGATGGTACTATAGACGTTACAATTACAAAAATGACTCACATGACCCAATCAGTGCAGTTACGTCATGCGACCCGCGGGTCATTATCGTAATCGGTCAATTGAACAATCAAAGTATTAAATCTAAACATTTTTATACCAACACACAATGGTCGGTAAGGAAAGATTTTAGTTCAAATTAGCTGATCCTGGGACTTCGTCCGCGGTGTAAATTACCTTATTTTTCTAAAACAAAAAGATTTTTTCTAAAATATAAGTAGCCTAAGTTACTCCTTATTACATCAGCCACCTGCCAATAAAAGTCCCGTCAAAATCGGTCCAGCGATTTCAGAGAATAGCCGAAATAAACAGACCGATAAAATTTGTAAAAAATGTTATTTTGGTGCATATACGGTATTTATATTCATATGCATGTAGTAAAAAACGGTTATTTCAATATTACAAACAGACACTCCAATTTTATTTATATGTATAGATGTATAGATTATGTTGAACAATCCACACGCCTTCGCCACAAGGCTTCCCGAGAGTATGTCTACTAATTCACCCCTCAGATCGATCCCCCATCCAATTCAAACGGGGATCGAAATTACGACGGCCTGAGCCGAAGTTCGAACGCCTAGTGGTGCCCTCAGAGTAAAGACGTATCCGTCAGGCGGGAGTTGGCCTTTAGTCGCTACATAAGCCCTTCCTTTGGTTTGGAGTGCCATCTGCACTCGCCCCCTATCGTCCGGTGAAGCTGTAAAGGCCAGCTGCGGCCAACTGCATTATGCTATGTTTACATTCAGCCGCTTCCAACTGAGCGAGAGGGCTGAATGTAAAAACACGCTGCCACTCGCGCTGCCAGTCCTTTGACTCGCGCACGAACAACCGACAATCGAGGGAGCGCCGGGCAGCGCGAGTGGCAGGGCCAATGGCATGGGAAGTGTTTCCACTCTTGCGCTGCTCACTTCTCTGCCCACTCGGGCTGAGTGTAAATTGGGCATTACAGTAGGTAGTCCAAACAAAAAAAAAACATGAAAACTTCGTTGAATTATTAATAACAAAAATATCTCTAGACAATTCACACAGCACCATCTAGTTTTAAGCTAAGCAAAGCTTGTGTTGTGGGTACTAGGCAACTGACGGATACACTTAGATACACGTTTTTGTAAATACATACATAATATACATAGAAAACACCCAGACAAATATAAACAATCATACCCCTGAATACAAATGTTTGTACCGTACGAAGCATCGAACCCAAGACCATCAGAAAGAAGGAGTGCTAAACCAATTAAATATATAAGATAAGCGTACGTATTATATTAACTGTAAATGGTACTACTTAGTTGTCCTATTGTGTATACTCAACTATCAAGACCTAAGTGTCCTCTCAAATGTATTCTCTCCCCAGTACTCGCTATTGCCCCACCACCAATGTGACATGGCATGCCATAGACTAGCCTTAGGCACAGATATTCATTCTAGAAAGGTAGTCTGGAGAATATGGCGCTGCTATCTCCACGGCATAACTTAGTGGCTCCCTCTATTAACTTTCTTACGGTAGCGGCAATAATCCACATTTATTCCATTATTAAGACAGTATTTATAGCAAATCATGACATACGTATAATATTTTTTGTATATCATTTTTTGTTCAGTTCAGGAAATAGACTCGACTGTGAAGTACAGACATAAAAAAATTGTTATTGTTTGAAAAAAGTCTCCAGTTCGTTTAATTGCGTGATAGCTGACTTAACGGGGTAGGAAGCATTTTTTTATATATATACATATTATTTATATAAATATATATATATAATTATATATATACATATTTAAAAAATGGAGTGTCTGTTTGTAATATTGAAATAACCGTTTTTTACTACATGCCTATGAATATAAATACGGTACATACACCAAAATATTTTTTTTAATTTTTGTCTATCTGTCTGTCTGTTTGTTCCGGCTAATCTCTGAAATGGTTGGACCGATTTTGACGGGACTTTTTTGCCAGGTAGCTGATGTAATAAGAAGTGACTTAGGCTACTTTTATTTTCGAAAAATATAGTTAAATTCCACGCGGACGAAGTTGTGGTAACAGCTAGTATAAAATACTTTAAATTTTCTAAAATTATATTTCACGCGGACAAAGTGCTGGTAACAGCTAATATAAAATATACGAAACATAAGGGCACGTTGTCATTGACCTCTGGGGCTCTATATAGACCTTTGGGAATTACTAGTATGGAACATATATGTATAATATATGCGTGTTATAGTATAGAACAAGCCGAGAAATCCAAAGATTTGTAATGCATCCGTGTGAAGCCAGGGCATGTCGCTTATGTAAGTATATATACATAATAAATACAAAAATATAAATTAATAATTGCAAAATCAATACAGTTATCTACGGGTTACAACTTGTGTTACACTTGTATTATATATTTATTTATTTACTGGTTATACTAACTCGGAGAGGTTAAAAACGGCGGCGACTGTTTAACGGCCTCAGTGGTCACACCGCCTTACATCCGATGGTCGCGGGTTCGATTCCTCGCACGGCACAAATATTTGTATTCATGAGTATGATTGTTTGTATCGGTCTGGGTATTTTCTATGTATAATATGTATGCATTTACGAAAATATATATATCTATGTATGTGTATCAGATATCTAGCATCCATAACGCAAGCTTTAGCTAGCTTAACTTGGGTCTAGATGGCGCTGTGTGAATTGTCCTGAGAAAAAAAAAGGGTAATCGTCTATCGTGGTATGGACATGTAATGCGTAGGAATGAATATCATATCCTAAGGACAGTGTTACATTTTAATGTAGATGGTTATAAGGGTAGAGGAAGACCGAAAGAAATGGATGGACTGTGTAAAAGAGGATATGGTGAGAAAAGGAGTAGATAACAAGATGGCGCTTTATGAATTGTCTTTGGTTATTATTATATATCTACTAGGTAACCCTGCAGCCGCTGTTTATCATAGTTTACTATCACATTCTATACGTGTTTTCATCATTTAGACAACCAAGTCCACCGATCCATTACACTATTATCATGGATGCATGAAAAACTCTTTATCTCACAGAAAGTAACAATTACATTTTATCATGCACTTAAAAAATTATACATGCATACAAAATACAATAAATAAAATTGGAATCAGCAAAATAATGAGATAAGTAATTTGTATGAGGAGCTCATTAGTGTGTGCCTACTACTCTAGTACCATGCAGCCATTCAGTTCTGATTGACCTGGCTAATGACACGAGACATGTATTAAAAAATTAACAAAAACAAACAAATTGACCATAGTCGATAAGTATTTGTTAAGACTGATTTTCAGGCGAGCGTAGAGTAGCTATCGGTTATCGTTTGGTAATGGAGTAGGGACTAGACTAGACTAGGGGGCCCAATCCATC